AGGACCGCCGCCCCAAGGTTGGGAGCGGCGGAGGCGGCGGGGGTGCGGGTGGGGGTGGTGGTGGAGTCGGGTCGTCCGGTGCCGGTGCGGACGTGGGGACCCTGCCCAGTCCAGCTGCCCCGCTGCCTCCACAGTCGCCGCAGCAGCAGCAGCAGCAATCGCCGCAGCCGCAGCCTCCGCAGCAGCCGCAGCAGCCGCCGCAGACGAGGCAGGCGAGTGCTCTCCCGCCTGGGTGGCCTGGAGCTGGTGGTGGTCGTGCGCGTGGTGGTGCACCGGGTGGTGGTTCTGGAGGCGGGCGCTGTCAGTACCAGATCCAGACCGGTCCTCGTCGCGGTTTCGTTTGCGGTAAGATCGGTCATTCCACTCCTCGCTGTTTTCGTCGTCTGGACGACCTGTTCCGTCAGCGCTTTGGCCCGGCACCCGACCTCCCGGACTGGCACAGCTTGCTTAGGCGTAGCATTCAGATTTTTGACTTGGACATGGATGCCATTGTAGCAGCCTTGCATGTGATGTATGCTGATGACTCTAGTGTGCTTCCCTCTTATTACCCTGTGTTGCCTAGTGTAGATGTGCCTATCGTAGACTCCCCTGCTGCATCAGGCGTAGGATCTCCTGCTTTGCTTAGCCTCGGTGCTTCCACCGCTTCACTGCCGCCTCGCGCGACTGCTGCGCTTTCCTTCACCTTGGACTCTGGCGCCTCCCGGTGTTTCTTCCGCGACTCCACGACGCTGACGCCGCTGCCTGTTCCCGCTGCAGTTACTCTTGCTGACCCCACCGGTGGTCCCGTCGTTGCCCGCAGTTCCACCTCCCTTCCCTGTCCGGCGGTTCCTTCAGGTTCGCTCACAGGTCTGCATATCCCCTCGTTCTCCAGGAACCTAGTTGGTGTCGGCTGCCTCCAGGACCTTGGCGTCACCACTACGTTCCCTGGTCACGAGCGGTATGCTGTCTGTACCGAGGCCGCCACTGGTGCCCCCCTTACCACTTTCCCCCGGGACCCGGTGTCCGGCCTGTTCACACTTGACACCGCGACTTCCCCGGCTGGGTCTTCCCCCCAGGTCGCTGCGTCCACCCAGGTTGCTGCTGCGTGCTCCTGTCGGTCCCTCACTCACCCGACTCTCCTTTGGCACCACCGCCTTGGTCACCCTGCACTCCCGCGTCTGCGTCACATGTCCCAGCACGGTCTCGTCCTTGGTCTCCCCGGTTCGTTCCCCGAGTTTCCCTCCTCCCCCGCCCCCCCGTGCACGCCTTGTATCGAGGGCCGGCTCCGCCGTGCCCCTCACTCCTCCTCGTTTCCCCCTACCACCGCACTACTGCAGACTCTGCACATGGACGTCTGGGGCCCAGCCCCGGTCCATGGGCCGCGTCGCGAGCGCTTCTTCCTAGTGCTTGTCGACGACTTCACGCGCTACACCACCGTCTTTCCCCTGGAGCGGAAGGCCGACGTGCCTGACGTTCTCATCCCCTGGCTTGTCTCTGCTCGTGTCCACCGCGGTCTCCCTGCCTTGCGCCTCCACTCCAACCGGGGTGGCGAGTTTGCCTCAGGTGTCCTTGGTCGCTTCTGTCGTGCGGAGGGCATCACCCAGACGTTTACCCTGCCGGACTCCCCGCAGCAGAATGGGGTCGCTGAGCGACGCATCGGTTTGGTCATGGAGGTGGCTCGCACCTCCATGATCCACGCCGGTGCACCCCATTTTCTGTGCCCGTTCGCCGTGCGCTACGCCGCTCACCAGCTTAACCTGTGGCCGCACCCCCAGCGGCCGCCGGTTTCGCCAACCCTTCTGTGGACCGGGTCCCCTGGTGACGCGTCTGCGTTCCACGTCTGGGGCTGCCTTGCTCACGTTTGTGCCTCTGGCACGGACAAGCTCACTGCCCGCACCCTCCCCTGCGTCTTCCTCGGTTTCCCCCTTGACGCGTCCGACTGGCACTTCTACCACCCGCCGTCTCACCGCTTCTTTCACTCTCGCGACGTCACCTTTGACGAGTCCGTCTCCTTCTACCGCCGCTTCCCCCACCGTGGTCCCCCGGTTACTCCCCCCCTGTTCCTGGTCCCTCCTTCCCCGGTGGTCCCTGCCCCTCCCCCCCCCCGCCCCCCCGTCCGGCCCCCTCTGGTGTGTCTCACGTCACCCCCCTCCCGTCGGTCGTCCCGGTCGACGAGTCTTCTGACTCTGGTAGTCCTCCAGCGCAGTCCTCGCCGTCTGTCCCTCCCCCGGTGTCTCCTCCTCCACCGCTGGTGTTGTGTCGCCGCAGCAGCAGTCCCCGCCGGTGTCCGCCCTCCGTCTGCTCGGCCTTCCGTCCCCTGACCCTGCGCCTGTTCCTCACCTGCCGTCTCCTCCTCTTCCCGTCTACGGCCCCGTGTTCCCTCCGCCGGACTCGTCCCCGGCTCGTTTTCCCCCTCGTTCCCCACCAGTGTCCCCTCCTTTGTCTCCTGACCCGACGCCTCCCTCTCACGTCTGGTCTTGCCGCCCCTCCCGTGCTCGTCCTGTCTCCCCCGTCCCGCGCTCTCACCCTATGTTGCTCCGGTCCCACGTGTCTCGTCCTCCCCTCCTCCCGTCTCCTCCTCCGTCCTCTCTTGTCGTTGCGTCTCCTCCTCTGTCTGACTACTTTCGTGCCGCTCGTCCTCTTGTTCCTCGGGTCCTTGCCTCTCTGGTTACAGACCCGTCTGTTCCAGTGTCGAGTCTTGACGCCCTTGTCGCTGCGGTCGCTGACTTCGCCTCTACCCGCCGCCTTGACTACGCTACTGCTCTGGTCTCCGACCCTGCCTGTCCTCCGTCTGTCGGGGGTGCTCCTGCCCTCGGCAGTGACGTCCTGGAGGACCGCCAGTTTGAGCTTGCTTTCCTGTCCGAGGCTGCTCCCCATCTCTGTTCCATGCTGCTAGTCCCTGAGGGTGACCCAGACGCTTTCGACATCCCGACCCCTCGTACTTACGCTGAGGCGGTTTCGGGACCCTGGGCCTCTCAGTGGATAGCTGCCATGGAACAGGAGATGGCATCTTGGAGATCCACCGGCACCTTCGTCGATGCAGTTCCCCCACCTGGGGTGAACGTGGTCGATGGCCGTTGGCTCTTCAAGGTGAAGCGCCCTCCTGGAGAGCCGCCTGTGTTCAAGGCGCGCTACGTGGCTAGAGGCTTCAGTCAGCGCGAGGGGGTGGACTTCTTTCAGACTTTCGCTCCTACGCCGAAGATGACTACTCTTCGGGTTCTGTTACACGTAGCGGCTCAGCGTGACTACGAGCTTCACTCCCTCGACTTCTCCACTGCCTTCCTTCAGGGCAGCCTTCACGAGCAGGTCTACCTGCGTCGTCCTCAGGGCTTTACTGGCACTTTCCCCCCTGGGACCCAGTGGCTTCTGCGGCGTCCAGTCTACGGCCTGCGCCAGGCGCCTCGTGAGTGGCACGACACGCTGCGTGCTACCCTTGCTGACCTGCAGTTCTTTCCGTCCTCTGCAGACCCCTCGCTCTTCGTTCGTGCTGGCCTGACTCCGTTCTACATCCTTGTCTACGTAGACGACCTGGTCTTTGCCACAGCTGACAGGGACGCACTGGCCTCCGTGAAGGCAGAGCTGCTGAAGAGACACACCTGCACTGACCTTGGAGAGCTGCGCCGTTACCTTGGCTTGCAGATCTCCAGGGACAGAGCCGCGCGCACCATCACCCTGACTCAGTCACACTTGGTGCGCCAGGTCCTTCAGAGGTTCGGCCTTCAGTTCTCCTCCGCACAGTCCACCCCTCTTCCTCTGGACCACAGACTCTCCGCTCCAGTTCCTGAGGAGTCGGTAGATCCCAGTGGTCCTTACGCTGAGCTAGTGGGTTGCCTCATGTACCTGATGACTTGCACTCGCCCAGATCTCGCATACCCTCTCAGCATCCTGGCTCGTTTCGTGGCCACAGGCAGACACCGACCTCAGCACTGGTCTGCCGCTAAGAGGGTTTTGCGTTATCTTGCAAGTACATCGGGCATGGGGTTAGTGCTAGGCGGACGCAGGCCAGTGGTCCTTACTGGACACACAGACGCTTCTTGGGCAGACGACGCCGAGACACTCAGGTCTTCCCAGGGCTACTGCTTTAGCCTTGGCTCAGGTGCTGTCTCGTGGAGAGCTACCCGCTCCTCGTCTGTTGCCCAGTCCAGCTGTGAGGCTGAGATCTACGCCGGTGCCATGGCGGCACAGGAGCTCCGCTGGCTGACCTTCTTGCTCACTGACTTAGGTGAGCGGCCTAGCTCTGCCCCGGTCTTGTACGCTGACAACAGGGCCATGATCCTCCTGTGTCAGGAGCCTCGACTCGAGGGTAGAGCGAAGCACATCCAGCTGCGGTACTTCCTCCTGCGCAAGCTCCAGCAGCGTCGCCAGGCTCGCGTAGTACACTTGGCCTCCGGTGCCAACACAGCTGATATCTTTACGAAGGCGCTTGCGCCTAAAGATCATCAGCGGCACTGTGTACAGCTTGGTCTGGTTCCTGTAGTCCCTCACTTACTCGGGCCTTGACTTTGTACTGTCCTATATATATGTGTACACTCAGACTGGACTTGTGTCCTCTCACAGTGGTTGGACTAGTAGTGCCGCCCTGAGCTGCTTGTTTAGGACATTCCCCTATGCAGGCTAGGGGGTGTGTCAAACATGTTTATTGATCATGTTTGTATAGACTGTATAGGGTAACCTCCTAGAGGGTACAACATTTAGATATATGTGCATGTACTCTCTAACTCTATCATCATTCAATTCTAGTTTTGAGAACTTCCGCTGTCTTACTAGTCTACCATTCCAGCAAAGATCCTTGGTTAAGTACTCGTGTTTGCAGATTCTATACTTGGTCTCCTGCAACGCCTGTCGAATTATTACACATACCGTACTGCATCAGCGAACTTAGGGCGAATTCCTACGAACCAGGATCAGAATCAAGTTGGATCAGAATCATGCAGTACTGTGCGGTGCGAGTGTTTGAATCGCGTTTCAGTGTGGTTCATTTCAGTTACACGCATTTCTGATTCTGATGCAACTTTGTAGGAATTCGCCCTTAAAATGATAAATAACATGCCTCCATAACAACGTATTCATATAATTGTATTGTCTGCTCAAAGACAGTGAGTGCATAGAGGTGGGGCAGCACACGAGGGCAGTGTGTCAGCAGCAGCTCCAGCAGGTGGTGGAGGTGCAGGGCAGGAGAGGTGCGGAGCCCACTCGAGGCCCGGCATTCTTTGTCACAAACGCCCTCAGAGCGTCGTCCGCAGTATGGAGGGGCAGCTTGTAAGGCGGGACAAAGGTCGGCTTGGGTGGGGTCCCCAGGAAGACATGGAAGGTGGCTCCGTTGCGCAACGAGTCGTTGAACGAGCGGATCGTCGGGGTGTTGTCAAACCCGGGGATCGACGGGCTCTGCGGCCCAAACCACGGCGTCACCTCCTTCCGCCCTTTGCCCGCGATGAAAATGTTTCGGTCTGACCGGATGTTGGCGTGCACGCGGCCGCCGAGGCAGTAGTAGGTCCAGTTGGTGTAGAGGTTGTTGGCCACGTGGATCTTCCCCCACCGGCCGTGCGGCTGCCTCTGGCCTGACCCTGCGAACCAGTTGCGGTACACCGTCACCCGCATCTGCTGGTCAAAGGTGTCGTTGTCTGCTGCGCCCAGCAGCATGGTGAAGCCACTGGAAGGGGGGGGGAGAGAGTGGGTGCAGGGGGGAGGGGAGAAAGGGGAAAGGGAAATCGCAGAGGGGGTAGGGAGGATGGGTGTAAACGAGGTGCTCTCAACACTCTGCACGAGGCAAGCAGAAAATGCAACGATGGGAATTGCAGAAGGATGCCTAGGAGGCTATTGCTGTCACAGGAGCCACCACTTACAAGTTGCGGATGAAGCAGTTCGATATAGTCACATTGGTTGACCCCTTCACGACATCAATCGTACCGCGGTACGCATTTGTGACTTTGCAGTGGTCCACCCACACGCGCGAGCTGTTCCGTATATGCAGCGCATCCGTGTTCCCTTTAGCATTCCCTATCGCCACATTGTGTATAATCACATTCCGCGACCTGTACACCGCCATGGGGCCATTGATCTTCACAGTCGCCCCGCGCCCGTCAATGGTGGTATCAGAGCGCACGAAGAGGCGGTCGGTGAGGTTAATCGCCATGCTGCGGGAGAACCTGATGATGGCGCCGCTGCGGTGCTTGTTCAGCGCCCACCGCAGGGAACCCGGCAGGGGGCTCGTGGGGTGGTCCATGGAGGATGTCACCCAGTACACCACCTTGCCCTTTCCCCCAGTCACCCCCCCCCACCTCGCATACCCCATGGCGCACTGGTGCAGGTTATGGCCCTGCCCTTCAGGCCTGTACGGGCAGTCCACCTCTCTGTCTCGCATTCGTTGTTTCTTCTGCATCACAGCCAGCGGCTGGTCTCGCGGTTTCATCTGGTGGCTCGTGGACTCTGGCACCTGCGGGTAGTTGACTACGGCTGGCTGGTCCATTGGAAGCCGCGCCTGCATGGGCTGCTTCCCTGCCTCTGCTTGCATGGGCTGCTGCCCCTCCTGTGGCTGCGTGGGCGGCTGCTGCTGCACGGGATGCACAACAGTTGGCCCTTGCCACTGACTGAAGCCCTCCGGCGGTTGCATCTGATTTCCCCTCTGCAGTGAGCCGGACAGATTGGTGTGTGGCAGGAGCGGCAGCACCAGAGCCCCCTGTGCCCCCCCCTGTGTGGGGCTACTGCTGGTACCACTGGGCTCAGGCGTCTGAAGCAGATGGGGTTGGAAAGCACTTATCGACGGCATGAGGAAATTCCGAGGCTGAACCTGCTGCACCTGTTGCTGTTGCTGTTGCTGCACCTGCGTTAGCTGTTGCTGCTGCTGCTGCCTCTGCATTTGGTGCTGCCACTGTCGCCACCGCTGCTGCTTTAACAGCTGCTGCTGCCTCTGCAGAGAGCCGCTGCTGATCCCAATGCTTGGCATGAGAGCAGTGTTGTACGATGCTGACCTGGCACTCAAAGATTGCTGCCCGTCCTCCATACCGCCAATCCTACTGGACGCAGCAACCACCACAGCACCCTCACCGCGCTCGTCTCTCCCTTGCACTGGTAACCGGCTACCAGCCCCTTCAATCTCGCCCCCTGTCATCTGCCCCTGTCCCCCTGTCGTCGACCCTGGTGTTCTTGCCACCGCCTCTGCCGCTGCTACTCCTCCTATTACCCCTGCCCCTGCCCTTGCCCCTGCCTCTGGGCCGATGTGTGAAGGCAACATGGCAGGGAGGGGCGCAAGAGAGGGCAGTCTAGAGCTGGGTCTGACGCGAGTCGTGCTGCTAAAGCTGCTGTGAGTGGGGCGGCTTACAGACGACGACAGTCGCACGTGGGAGGGTGGTACTTTGCCTGCCGTGGCTTGTGCTGATGCTGTGTGACTGTGGTGGAAGGTGCGTCTATGGAGCGAATAGGTTGAAACCGGGAGGTAACTGCCAGATGCCCCTGCTGCTGCTGGTGCCACTGCTGCTGTTGCCGCTGCCCTGTCAGCCGTTGCTCCTGCTGCGACTGTATCTGCTGCCGCCACTGTTGCTGGAATGCTAGGGTAGCCACTGGCACGAGCGAGTGTGAGCATGGGAGGAAGCAGGCACAGCAGCGACAGGAGCAGCCGGCAGAAAAGCTGCGAGTGGAGGGGGAGGTGGAGAGAGAGAGGGAGGGAGGGAGGGAGAGAGAGAGAGAGAGAGAGAGAGAGAGAGAGAGAGAGAGAGAGAGAGAGAGAGAGAGAGAGAGAGAGAGAGAGAGAGAGAGAGAGAGAGGGAGAGAGGGAGAGGGGGGGGGGGGAGAGGAGGGGGGAGGAGGAGGGGGAGGGGAGCAGGGGAGGGATGGACAGGAGAGAGATAGTGAGCGACGAAAGCTGACGCTTGAGATGGCATGAGATGCGAATGGTTCGTGGCGGCGACCATGCAGTACACCAAGAACCGCCCACGCGCCCCACTGACGCCGACAATCGCCCACCCTACTCCCCCTCCCACCCCCCACCCCCTACCCCCTACCCCCTGCCGGCTACCCCCAACCCCCTCCCCCCTCCCCTTATCCCCTACCCCATACCCGCCGCTACCTGCGTACCTCTCCGTGGCTGCTGCCACGTCGCCGCCTGCGCATGGCTCCCGGCTCCTCTACGCGCACAAGACGCGTCGCGCACGATACTTGCCGCTCCAAGCCCGCCCCGAGTGCGAGTGCAAAAGACTGGCAGAATCGAGAGGTCCCCCCACGTCCTGCCCGCCTGCGCGCGCTACTGCCGCAACGCCCGCCGTCGCGAACGGGGTGTTTAAGCGCCTAACGGGCCGCACAGCCGCTGTCGCGGACAAGGGTGCTGGCGGCTGGACTTGTGCCTATAGGGACCGGGGGAGCGACGCTACGTGCGTCCAGAACGGGCGTGCACTAGCGAGGTGCGGCCGAGCAGTACGGAGCGAGTGGAGGAGGAAGACGAGGGAAGGAGACGGGACCAGATCCCCGATTAGCAATGATTGCCGTAAGGCGGGAGTTGGATTGGAGCGGTAAAGGGCCGAATTGGGTTGGATCTGTCGAAGCACGACGAATCAATCGACGTTCTTAATCTACGCGGCAAGATGAAAGCCTATCAAGTCGCGAGGGGGGCTCAAATTGGCCCCTCACTAGTGCGGCTACGACCGGAGATCGACTAGTGTTCAAAAGACGAGCGCTTGAAGATTTATTCCCGCGCGATTGCGCGGACGTAAGGGTAGAAAAGCGGAGACTAGTAAGCGGCTCTAACTTAGTAGCTCGTGCGTGTCGTCCATATGTAACAACGGCTGCCGCTCGCGAGGCGTACAGGTGACGGCGCTAGGCGTTCTGAAAGGAACTACACGCCCATGGAGTTTTCAAGGGCAAGGGCAGCAACGCGTTAGGCTGGAAAGTCAGTCTAAGGGCTGGAGCGTAAAGAGTCGGACTGTCGGACATGGCGAGGAGCAGCGGATCGAGGAGGCTCCAGGGTTGGTCGGTGGCGACTAGTACACCTAGACGGGGCGGAGTCCGTATCACGCAGCAGCGCTGGTGGTGGATGCGGGGAGGCGAGGCGAAGCGAGGCAAGGGGCCAACAGAGCTGGGGGACTGAAGGGTGAGCGGAGCAGAGCAGCCAGCCGTGACGGGAGGGGATAGACCGGGGGGTGGATGCACCGCCGACGGCCGAAGCGCCCACACGCGCAGGGAAGGGGAAGAGAGAGGAACGGAGATGAGCTACGGCGCAGCGGGTACGGACCGTACGGTTGAGATGACACCATGGGAGTTAGAGCTTTGTTGTGTGGTGTTCTCAGCAGTGGAATGCAAAACTCGACCAGCTGCCTAATGCTCGATCGGACCATGCTTGATTGGGCCAAGCGTTTTCTGTATGCGCCCCTGTGTGGAGGGGAGGGGAGAAACAGGAGGAATGCCAGGCAACGACATCGGTTCGGTCGGTTGGGTGGCGGTGGTGAGGTGAGGTGAGCGCGCAGGGGCTGAGCTGAGGACAATGTCGACTTGAGCGACGATCGGCGACAGTGGGGTGGGGAGAGGGGGAAAATGACGATGGGCAGGGCGGAGAGGGGAAACCTGCAGTCTGCGATTGGTTGTATGTGTTACGACGCTATTGGTTCATCGTGCGCAACGATGCTATTGGTCGTTGTGGCGCCGTGCGACTCGAGGTGGGACACGACATGAGGTGCCCGATGTTGTACCACACAAGCCGCTAAGCCATGCGACGTGCAACGAAGCTGCGCGGGGGCGACCTGCAAAGCTCAGTCGCAGCGGGGTGGTTTCACAGATGCTTGTCGGTGCCAATAGACCAACCACCTACTGTAAAAAGCCTGCTGTTCTTGGAAATAATGTGCAGAACTATTTCATGCACATCCCAATATTTTCCCCTCATACAAAACGCACCTACCATAACTTCATGAAAGCGCATACATCAAGCTCCCGACCGATTAGACTAGCTCCAGTTCACAAAGACTAAGCAAGTATATGTGCAAACAAAGTCATCACTGATGCAGGCTAACCATCATGTGGAGTTGGGTCATTCCTATCCCTGCATCATATGCATTATGTGAGTCAGCTCCCCTTGCATTCCCCAAGCTACAATGGCAACCCAACTTAGCACGAAGATGCGAGACACACAATGCATGTCAGTTATACGAGGACGAGATATGTGAAAAGTGAATGAGGTAGGACGCAATCAGTCCCTGATAGTCGATCTGCTGGTCTCCAGGCCCCACCTCTGATGTTCCCATGTGGGCAATGTGCTTGTGTACTTGTCTCCAGCGTCACGCGTTAGTACCACGGCCTGGATCACAAGGGAAGCAACAGCGACGTATGAGACCAGAATGCGAGGTGAAGACCAAACAGGACCGAGCTCCCAACCTCCTAGTTCTCCTCCCTCACCCCCCTCGTGCCGCTCACCCCTCTTGCAGCACTCACTTCTTTAGCTCCTTGGGCAGATCAAACACTTTCTTCAGATGCTTCGACGAACGCCTGTCCCCTCTATAGCATAGCACCCGCAACAGCGTATTAGCATCGGTTGGGCTCCACTCCTCTGGCACCGGCGGCACCAAAGGATTCCCCTTCGCGTCCTTGCCTCCTGCCCCTCCCGGCACCGTCCGCAGATACTCCTTATAAGCAGCATCAAACTTCCTTATAAGGTCGTCGGTGTCGCGGGACATGAGGGTGACGATGCCAGCAGCGGGGGCGAGGGCAGCATCGACCTTATCGGCAGGGAGGCCGTCTCCTCCGTCTATGAACAGCTCCGAGAGGAAGCTCAGGTCCTCCTTCAGAGCAGGCACGTCAGGCACCTGGTGGTGGGAGGGAGGGAGGGGGAAAAGGGGAGGGGGGAGATGGGGGGGGGCAGGCTCATGTGAGCATGCCCAGGATGCCAGCGGGTTACACGGAAAGGGGAGGGTGTGATCGGGAGGGAGGAGAGCAGAGACAATGATGATGAGAATGGAAAAGGGTCTGCAGGTGCAGGTTACTATGCACAGAGAGGGCTGTGGAGAACAATGCCCATCTCTCCGCCACCCCACCCAACCCCACCATACCGTGAAGCTCCTAGCGGGCCCGCCGGCCAGCAGGGCGCGCATGTAGCAGTGCACGAGCGCCCGTAGCACCTCGAGCACCACGCGGTCCCTCAGCCCGTCATTGATAATGTCCGCAATGACCACCAGGTGCGGGTGCAGGCGCTCCAGCAGCGCCGCGATGCGCATGCGCGAGGCGGCCCCGCCCGCGTAGAGCGCGTCGACGGCCACGTCCTTGAGCTCGTGGCAGACCACTCGGTACGCGACGAACTGGCAGAGGTGCCCCATGGCGCGCTCAGCCTCGTGGCGCACGTCGTCAAACATGCAGATGAGCTCCGAGGGTAGAGGGGGCACCAGAGGCACGTTCGCCTCCACCTGTGGGGGGAACGGGGGAGGTGGGGGGAGGAGAGACATGGTTTTGGGAGGAAGAGGAGGCAGAGATATGGAGCAAAGACGGTATGGGGGGTCGAAGTGGTAGAGATGTGGGTGGTATGCAGCAAAGACACGTGGCAAGTGGGTGGAGGTCTGGGGCATGGATTAGGAGAAGTTCTAACTGAAGGGGCACACAGAGCAAGGGCGCGTGGGGAAGAGAGGCTATGAGGGTGCGTCAGCAGCCCTGGCTCATCGTCCCATCAAACCCGCAGCTCTGAGCTCGCACCTTCTTGAAGGATGGCAAGGGCCAGAAGGACTTCTGCACAGGAGCAGCAGCAGCCGTGGAGGGCGACGAGGCCGAGGGCGCCATGGCGCGCTCCCACGCGCTGCGGATGCGAGCGGCGAGGGCGTCCACCTCGTTGTGGATGTGGAACAGCGTGTTGATGCGCACCAGCAGCCGCGGCACCGCGTACCGGTCGCTCTTGCTCTCCTTGCCGCCCCCGCCCTTGCTGCTGCCGTTCGCCCCGTTCGTGCCGTTGGCTGCTGCTGTGGCCGCCGCTGCTGCGAGGATGGCCGCACCCTTCTCCTGTGCTCCTCCCTCCTTGTAGCGCGTGAGAGGAGGGAACGGAGGCAGGAACTGGGACTTGTCACCTGGTAGGGAAGAAGGTCCAGGAGTGGAGGAATGATGGGTGAGTCGAGGAGAGGCATGACATGGCTCATGAAGATAGGGATGGCTCTGGGAACTGAGGAGAGGCATCACATGGCTTCTTATGCCTAACATATCTCACCAGACAAAAGCCGGAGAGCTGCAATGCAGCAATTCCTTCCAGCCTCTTACCCCTCCGCCTCCTCAATTCCCTGCGCCACTCCACCTTCTCTCCTCAACACCAAACCCCCCCCCGGCCCCCCCCCTCCAAGAAACCACATTCCCTTGTCCCTCCCACCCTCTTCTCCCCCATCCCCCCACACCCACCGACAGAGGCAGTGACGGCCTTGCAGTACTTGAGCAGGGCCGCCTCCATGGCGCGCACGACGCTGACGAGCATGTCGGCGCGGGGGGGCAGCGGCAGCGCGAAGAAGGCCTCCTGCGTCTCGTCCAGCAGCCCCAGCACGTCCATCACGCTCGACGCACAGAACGCCTTCATCGCCTTGGGCTCCCACTTCTGCCGGGACACATGCACACACACACGCAGGGCACGAGGGTTGGGGGGTGGGGGTTGGGTGGGGAGGAGGGAGGGAGAGGTGGGAGGGCACGTGGTGAGGAGGGGAAGGTAATGCAGTGGTCAGGGTGCAGACGCCGATGGGGAAGGGAATGAGGGATACATGGATATCCAAAGAGCATGAACCTACGGCTGCATGCTCATTTCAGCTTATTCCAACTGGGGCGAACCCTCCATTTTGGATAGCTCCCATGCTGCCTCCACATGGACGAATAACCACCTCCCTGGCGTCCTTGAAGCAATGTCCTCCGCAATGTTTGCTCACCCTACCTTTCACTCCTACCAACCCGTACCCAACCCCCTCCTCCGGAACCCACACATCCCACCATACCCCACCACTCCTCTCCCTGCATTGCCCCACGCTGTTCCACGTCCCCTCCTCCTGAGCCACCACCACTCTGCACCAAACCGCACCACACTGCCTCCTGCCCTGCTGTGTTGCGCTGACCTCGAGCTGGATGGCGCGGTCGACCCACTCGGCGCACTTGGCGATGCGGTTGTCCTGCCACTGCTGCAGCATGACCTCGATGGTGCGCTGCGTCTCGTACGGCGGCATCTCCTGAATCACCTCCGCGCCCCCGTCCTCCGCGTCCGCGCCCTCCTCCACCGCCATCTCAATCAGCTGCTTCTCCAGCTTCTCCGCCTGCAGCAGCACCTGCAGGGGGCGGGGGGGGCGGAAGTGGGGGGGGGAGGGGGGGTGAAGGGGAAGGGGAGAGGAAACGGCATGGGGAACTCGCGATACGGAATGAATGGGAAAAGAGATGGGGGGTGAAGGGAAGTGGAGGGAAAGGGGACGAATTAACAGTTATGGAGGGAGGGAAGCGGGGGTTGGGAGTGGGGGAGAGGGGAGTACATTTTCTCTTCCCTCGGCTGCTCACCTGAGTCATCTCCACAGACAGCACAGTGCGATCCGCTATAAACAGCTTCAGCTCGTTCTTGTAGCACGCGTGCACCATGGCAACAGTGAGCCCGCCCGCGTTGGAGTTCCAGGGGCGCAGCGCGGCAGCGTAGCGCCCCACCGAGTCCACCGCCAGCATGCTGCTCTCCGCCGCCAGCGCCACCAGCAGCGGCGGCACCCCCCCGTGCGCCTGCTTCAGCGTCACCTGCCTCTGCGCCGCTGCCTCGCGCACCTGAGTGGGGAGGGGGGAGGGGGAAGGGGGGGCAGGAACGGGAGGAAGGAGGGATGAAGGAGGAGGAAGAGAGAGGTGGGAGGAGGAATGTATGGGATGCGGGGGGGAATGTGGTGTGTTCCCTTCTGCTGGGCGGTGGTGCATGCTAAGCCGCAGTCACTACTCCAGGTTACAGGCAGCCGCAGCGACGCGGATGAGTCACAGCACAATTCAAACAACCAAGAAACAAGACGGACCAAAGACGCAACGACACAAAGCCGCAGG